AGGAACCACGCCCCCACCGCCAGCGGGAAGGAGTCAGATTAACATGAGGCAGGGGCGTGGTGTGGTGAAGGAGGAAGTGGAACTGCCAATGAGAAGAGCACAACGCCTTGCGTGCACAATGACACTCTGTTACGCTCAAATATACTGGGTCAGGGAAAGGACAGGAGGTCAGACTTCGTGAACTGACACACCTTTGTTGTTCGTCAGGGACGTGAAGTTGAGACCCAGAGCTCTGTAATTTTATTCCTTTACTGCTTAATAAACTACATTAACTGAGACCGAATATCTTCTCCTATTGCTTCATTAAAGAACATGCAGGACTGAGCTCACACATAGCACATTGGAGAGTAGGATGAGACTCTTAGTCCAACACTTTCTAAGTAGCTAGCTAATCTCTGCGCTAGTACACTAAAGAAAATCTTCCCTTCTACATTCAAGAGAGAAATCATCCGGAATTGGCTAAGGTCCACAGACTCCTTCTCCTTAGGAATGAGGACACCCCCTGCCCTACGCCATGCTCTTGGGATAATTTGTTTCTTCCAAACTATTCTTAGCTGTTTCCACAAAAATGTAAGGATATCAGGTGCACTTTTATAAACCCGGTAGGGGACTCTATTAGGCCCTGGGGCCGAAGAAGCCTTTGCACGCCTGACCACCTCCTGAACTTCCTTCCACCTAGGTGGCCTGACATCCATCTCATGCTCTATCCCTCCTAATGGAGGGATATCCGATGGGAAACCTACTATCCTATTCTTCTCTAAATCTGAATATGTATTTCTCAAATATTCTTCAACCTCTAGCCTTTCTGCTTTGAGCTGCCCTCCCGTTTCCTGGCTGAACAACCCTTTAACAAACTTAAAAGGGTCCCTGAAATAAACTGTCCTTACATGTTCCTTCTTCCTCCTCTTTTTCCTGAGATGCTCTGCCCTTCTAAGAACTGCTAGCCTGCTTCTCAGCTCCTCTTGCAACACATTAATTCCCTCCCTTTCTTCTTCTGTAGCCTTTTCCCACTGCTTTCTTAACTGTCTCCTTTCCTTAACTAACTTCTCTAGTTCTCTTTGCCGCCTAGACTTACCTGACTGTGCCCTCTCACTCCTCTTTCTCTCATGCACCCCGAACCTCTCTGCACCATATGAGTAAATTATATCTCCCATCTTTTCTAACCTTTCGATTACATTTCCCCTAAGCCAGCACTCACCTATAAACTGCCTCTGGTCTGAAAAAAACAAACAAACAAAAAAAAAACAGACCTTAGACTGCAATGATTGACCAGTTAGAAGACTAATGATAGATATTGGATGTCTATATATATATGTATATGTATATTTTATACCTACAATAATAATAATAATGATAATTGTTGTAGCTAGTTTAGATTTGTGCGGTGTGTGTATGTTTGTATGTGTGAATGTGGGCGTGTGTCTTTGGTGAGGCACTATGGTTGCTATGGTTACCTACACATCTGGGCATAGGTAGTAATCAGCTAGGCAGAGGTTAGATAAGGGAGACACAGGTGATTAGGATCTGGGGAAGCCACACAGTTTTTCAACCGTGCCTGTGTGTGTGACTGTCTAAATGGGTTTGTTGTATTAGTATTTTTGTCCTTTTGGGGGCTCGTTTTAAGTCATTCGGCACCCGGCCTTTTGTAGGTGTTTTTAAGACTCGCATGTTAATAAAGTGTTAAACGCATATACATGGCGGACCTCATTTTTACACATCATCACAAGCTGGAAATGTCTTCAAATTCCCTCAAGTGGCATTTTGTGTAGCTAGATTGCCACTATAATAATGAGAGTGATAATAAAAAAAAACAAAAAACAAAAACGATAATAATAATAATGATA